ACAAGTTATACCCAAAGCATATAGAAAGATAAAAATAACAAAAAGCATTTAAATACTAATTAAATACAAAACAAAAAGACAACAGAGAAATGATAGAAGTCAATATTGATTCTTTCAAAGAGTAGTAAGATTAATAAAACTCCAGGAAGAATGATAAAATAAAAGGAGAACACAATTTACCAATGTCAAGAATAAATTATTCAATAGTACCAAAGGCCTTACTGGTGTTAAAGACATACTAAGAGAATATTATGAATCATTTCATGGCAGCAAATTAATGATTTTCAATAGTTTAAGTAAAATCCTTTAAAAATGCAACTTGCCAAAGTTGACTGAAAATGACATCAAAATGAAATAACTTCAAATTCATTAAATAATTGTACTTATAATAAAGAAAATTTCCAGCCAAGAAAATCCCAGATCTATATGGTGTCACTAGTAATTTCCATAAAAAATTTATAGACTAAATAGTACCACATTCCCTAAATATTTTAAAAATCAGAGGGCATTTCTCAACCAACTTGTAAGATCAGCATAAATTTGATTCTATAATCTGACAAAGAATCTAAAGAACAGACTATTAGAGAATAATAGCGCTGATGAACATAGATACTGAAATTTTAAATTTTAAAAATATTTTTAAAATATTAATAATCAAATGTAATCTTTTAATATAATATTTTAAAATCTAATATTTTAAAAATACTGTATCAGAACTAAGTTAGCTTACCTCAGGACTCCAGTGTTGCTTTGATATTTAAATATAATTTGTAACATAGAAAAAAAAAGTCATACAATTTTCTCAATAAATTTTAAAGATTCCTTTATGAAAAATAATCACTGAACAAATTATATTGCACTTTCAAACAAGGATATGTGCAAAAAACCCCACAACCAGAATCATGATAAATGATGACATATGAAATACTTTGACCTTCAGATCATAAGCAAGATAAGAATGTTTACTTTCACCATTTCTATTTAGCAACAATAGGTGATTCTAGCCAATGCAACAAGGTAAGAAAAGAAATAACAGGCACACAGATTGGAACTGAAGAAATAATATTGTATATAATCACATTATTATGAACATAATATGCTACAAGGACTTTATAAAAATACTACTATAATTCGGTAGATTTAGTAAGGGAAAAATTATATATATTTATCTATACATATGTATGGGTAAATATATACACAAGATAGATAACTATACTACTAATCTCTGCTAGTTCATCAAAAGCAACAGTTTGTTTTTTCATTTTTTGATTGTTTGATAACTTTTTATTCCTAAATCTTGTAATCTGAACAACTACTTTTAAGATAACAATAAGAAATATATTGAATAGTGTTAATTTCCCATTATTTTTTGGAAAATCTACTTCATTTTTATCTTTTATTTGTTTTTAAAATAAAAAATTGTTAAAAATGAAATACAAATTCAATACCAAAAATCAACCAATCACTATCCATTAGAATTAAAATTCATAACTAATAATGTATAAATACATTTAAAATCATTTAAAAAGCTGTTTCAGTACATAAAATACTTCAGAATATATTTAATGTAACATAAAATAGAATTTTACAAGCTAATTAAAATTGCATGTAGAAGTGCCAAAAAGTCTTAGAAAATTAAAATATTTTGAAAAATAAAAATAAAAAGCCTTATTTCCAAAATTAACATAAATCCCAAGAAATAAGAACAATTTTTTTCGAAACACATGTAGCATACTGATGGAACAGTATTTAAAGCCTACACTCCCAAAGATCAATCATCAAATTATTATTGTGAATAGTGACAAACACAGCCACGTGCTGCAGAACCTGGTGGTGAATGAGGGATTTCACACACGATGGTTCACGGGAAGATTACATTTCCTAGCGATGTTGTGACCATTTCAGTTTAATAAGTAAACTCTCTGATGGCATCCAATGACGAGTCATGCTAAGGACACATTCCTCTGGAGTAACTCTCATTTGTTAAACAACTCATTAATATAATTCAACACATGGGAGGAGCCGTTTACTTGGGAAACACATCTGCTTTCCTACTGAATGCTGTAAGAAAAAAGTGACATGTTGTGATGGTTAATTTTATGTGTCAACTTGATTGGGCTATTGGGTGCCCAGGTAACTGGCTATCCATTATTGAGAGTCTGCTTACAAGAGTGATTCTAGTTGAGATTAAAATTAGTGTCAGTAGACTGAGCAGTGTCCCTTGCCATTCTTAAGGTGAGAGGGCCTCGTGTAATCATGAAAGCCAGAATGCAACAAAAAGGTGAGGGAGGAGAACTCTTTGAGCTGGCACACACATTGGTCATCTACTTTCATACTGATTTCACTGGAATTCAGGGCATTGGCCCAGGAAATATACCATTGGCTCTTGTGGGCTTCTAGCTTGTCAGCTGTGGATCTTATAACAATTTAGCCTCTGTATATCTTTTCTTCATGTCCTTGGGTTAGGGAGTGTTCTTAGACTGAAACAAAAAATAAATAATGAAACACAGAGGCACAGAAAGAGAAAATCCAATCAAAATTCCAAAATTTTGACTTCATCATAATTAAAACCTTTGCTCTTCAAAAGATAGCAAAATTAAAAAATCAAGCTGCAGAAAAAAAGGAAATATTTTCAAGGCGTGTTTGCTGGAAGACTTTTACCAGGATCCACAAATGATGAAGCAATAGGAAGACAAATGTCTCCATTTGAAATATCAACCAAATGTCTGAACAGATGCTGCTCAAGGACTTCCGGGAGCAGCAATAAACATAGAACAGGGTGCTCAACTTCAGCGATGTTCCACGGGGGAGAGGCAAAGGTCATTAGGAGCCTGAGCTGAATCCACACAGAGACACATTTTCTACCCGCTGGGATGGCTGGAATTTGAAAGACTGGCAGGGTCACTGATGGTGCTGGAGAGCAACTGAAATTCTCCACTGCAGAGTGAGGTATAAGATGGTTAAACTCTTGAGAGAGTTCCCTGTGTAAACACCGTGTGAACCAGTAATTCATTTCCAAAGGAACGATTAATTCCGATGGAGGTGGGTACACACACACATACATAGAAAGATTCATACATGAGTGCTCCAGCAGTTTTATTTACAAAAGGTTCAAATTAAAAGCAACTGCAATGCCCATCCACAGCAAACAAACTGAGATGTAGTTTCACAACACAATACTAACCAGGAATAAAAACATAGAAGTGTGACATCTCATAAGCCTGGATGACTTCCACTAGTATTGTGCCGAGTAAAAGAAACCAAAACTAAAAAGATGAGCTTAATTTATGGTGAGGGGAGATAGAACACACCCCACAAGGAATACAGAGCAGGAGGGGAAATGGAGGAAATTCACAGGATGTTCAGAACATTCTTTTCTTGTGTAAGCTGGGGATTATTTGAATGCATACATTCATCAAAGTGTATCAGGACGCTGGGAGTGTAGCTTAGTGGTATAGCGCCTGCCTGGAAAGTGTGAGGTCCTGAGTTCAATTCCCAGTACCAAAAGCACCCATTGAAATTTTACTTTCCAGTGTATGAAAATTGTATGTTAATAAATAGTTGGTTAAAAAAGATTGATTTGCATCAACAATGTAGCCTGAGATAATTTCCATTTTTTCCCAACAGGAGATACATGTGTGTGCAAGCATTGTGTATATACACAGGTCTCTGCTGCTCTTTGTCTACTGTGCATGATGGAAAGAACCAAAGTTTCTGAATACATGGAGATGCAATTTATTGGCAGGATCTTAAAGATATTTCATTTTGAACATAAATACATCTTCTTATGACATTGATATAATCTCACTGCCATAAATGAAGCAGTCCCCATATCTGTGGATGATGTGTTCCTCTAAGCACATCTGCAGTACCAGGGGGAGGGGATTCTGATTAGTGGGCCTGGGAGGGACTGGGCTGGGAGAGCCCAGTAATCAGAATCGGCAAAGATGGGTTGGGAATCTGAATTTTTGACAGATTCTCCAGGTGATTTCTGTCAGTCTGAAGTCTAAGAACTATAGCTGTACACAGCCCCTAAGACAAAATCCATCCCCAGCAAATCCCCACTAATTAGCAACGGAAAACAGCTGTTTGCATCTTTTCCATATAAACTTCAGGTGATAGTTAATTGCTCCTCTTCTGGCCCCTTCTTTCATGCCAAGGGTGTCCCAGTCCTGCACTCAGAAGCTCTTTGCTTTGGTTTGCATTCTTTCCTGTCTCTGCAGGAGCCACTGACAGCAATTAACGGGAGAGAGCTTTGCATGTTGCGAAACAAACCTCCAGCATACTAAGTACAAAGAAACTCTCAGGAGTTTATTGTCCTTTATTTTTATTGTGGATTTGGTTTTATTTTCATAGTTTGATTCCAGATTTTGTCCCAGTTCATAAGCAGATCAGTAAGTTCTTACTGTTACTTATTTATTTTCCATGTGGGGTTTTCCTTGATAGCTGTTTATACATAGAAGAGAATGGAAGAGCAAAGACACATTGGATTCCAGGCTTTATATATTTTTTCGAATTTAATTAAAAAATTTTTGTGGTACTAAGGATTGAACCCAGGGCTTGTGTACTGAGCTACATTCACAGCCCTTTTTAATTTTTTATTTAAAAGAAATTTTTGAGGGGTACCAGAGATTGACCTCATGACCTTGCATTTGCCAGGCAGACACTTACGCTGCCGAGCTAAATCTCTGCCCCTTCTTTTTATTTTTTCTTTTGAGGAAGTGTCTCAGTAATATGCCAACCTGCCCAGGATCGGCTAGAATCTATGATCCTCCTCCTTCAGTCTCCCAGAGGGCTGGTGTTAAAGGCATGCACAGCTATAAACACCTTTGTTCATCTTTTCAGAATAAAATACTTTTTAACTTTCCTAAGCATTGGTCTGTTGTGACTGTTGTTAGCCTTGAAGATAGTAGTGGACCCACTGGCCCACATTTTATTGTTTAGCTGCACCAGGCTTGAAAATATTTCTCACTGTTTCTTCTATGTGCTCTGCCCCACAGCTGCACTGTATCCACGGGGCCAGGCAGCAGGCTTTCCACGTGCTCGCCCCCAGCTTGTGCTATCACTCCTGAGAGACACACTGCTCATCTGCAGACCCCACTCTCTGGACAGGTTTGGTGTAAATAGTCTGTGCTTCTATTTTTCCATTGAATTGTAAATAAGAAAAGAAACTGAAGTACAGTTGGAAATATCTTGACAATGATATATTTAATCTCAAGATTTTCTCCTGGTTATTTTGGAAAACAGTCACAAAGATGAAACATCTGTTGACTTTTATTTCTAATAAGTTGTCCTACGTGATGTGTGTGTGTGTGTTTGTTTAAATATAAAAAACGTCATAGCCCTTCAAGAGTGATATTTGCAAATGCCATGGACCTAGATGAATATATAGCCAGGGTAAGAAAGTCCTCAGAGTGGAGAGAATAATCAGTCCAAGCCTACATGCCCTTTGTTTAAGAAGCCAAAGTAGTTGAAGTTTATATTTTAGAAAGTTTTAAACATTTGTCAAATCAAGTAGACATAATATAACCATCCATTCAAAAATTTCTCCAGATAGTTTTAAGCTACCACCCAAGGCTAGTACTTTAAGTGTTTAGAATCATCCATTCTAATAAAGACTGATTCAGACTCCAAACTATTGCATGACTCTTGATCTGGCTTCCAAGAAACGTGCATCCTCCCCTTTCCATCTTTCTGTTTGTACACTATGTCCCTCCGTTAATCTCTGAGTTTCTTTGTATGTAAAGTGGAGATGATAATTACTGCAAACTTCCTGTGGAGTTTATATAAAGTTTAATTGGTTAATTAGGCAAAGTGTTTTGAGATCTCCGAAGGAGGAGCTTTCAGACAAAGACATCAAGACATCATAATAAATTTTGTGAGGTTCTGCGTTATGGGTGGGATGACCCCTGCCTTCAGAGGTCACCGGGAAAGGGCTCCCAGGCATAAGCAGCATGACAATGATCTGATCTTTCCTACTGCTCGGCTCCCTGTCCTGTTACCCTTGTTCCCTGTTTCCTGGCTCCTTACATGCAGAAGCCTTAAACATTGAGCAACCTTCTGGCTTGGAGAAAAACTAAGTGCATATTTGCCTATATTCCAAACCCCAGATGACGTATACTTCCAATCGGGCAGATGTGGTCAGCCGTTGATTAGACTCAGAGGAGAAGAAATCAGAGGCATCCCAAACAATATTGAGCAGGAAGCCAGGAGAGCAAAGGTGAAGAGACACACCATCTCTGCCTTTCCCATCCTTCAGCTTCCTTTCCTCTGGCTCGGCCAAGTTTCCCCTTCTTCCTGATAAGAAAACTTCCAAGTCTTTTTCTCTGTGGCTTTCCTTGCATGGACACAGGCAAAGCTTTGTGTGTCCAGGGTTAGCCCATCTTTCCCATTACCTTTGGAGCTCTCATAGCTGAGCAGGAATTTTGCATCGTGCTCAATAAGTATTGCACTTTCAATAACTCAGAGACTTATATACCTACTAGTGACTACCCAGGCTCCTTGGTATTTCTACTCCTATATCCGATGGCTCCCTCTCTGTTGGCTATTACATTGAAAATTGCCAACTACACTCACAGCATCATAGAATAATTACATTGAAAGGGGAGCCGGGGAGCCTTCTGTCCACCCTGCCTGACTGCAAATAAACATCTCCTCACGCAATTCTGCAGAGTGGGACCCCGCCTCAACTCTAGTCGTGGGGCTCCTGCCCCGTGTAACACACACTTCTTCCGTGCTAATGATTAGAGCCAGAAAAGGCCTCCCGCTGGTTTCTCCTCTTCATTGTTAGTTTTCCCCTCCAGAGTACTGTAGGACAAATAGGAACCCTTCCACGTGATTTCTCCTGATGCCTGCTCATGACAGTGGGGTGGTCCTAGCTCCTCACCTGCCTCTCGGTGCGAGATCCCCTTGTTCTCTGACACGGCACACGCTTGATTCGCACTGAATTGGACCACTCCAAGGCCCTTGACTTTTCCATGTAAATCACTCTGAGTCTACTGCTTCCGCACCTTAAACCTACAGAGATGATTTTCCTTTTCTGAGGCTGACAGGGACGTTAATATTAATTGCCTTCAAACTTGTTTTCTCTTAACTTACGCCTATTATTCAGGCTGTTTTCCAGCCCTGATCTGCCTTAACTATTCCTCTGAGCTCTAAGCCATCACAGATTTGATGTCTGCTTTCTAGAAGAGTCAGATTGGTTGGTGAGAACCACTAAAGGAACAGGGCCCTGGTGCACAGGCATGAGAATCTCCCCAGAGAGAGGGTACAGCTGTAGTAGCCAGCACTAGGCCCACCTCCTTTGGGTCCCTTGTCATTTTCCTGCACACTGGCACTGCCTATGTACTCGTGCCACCTTGCTCATGGAGGGGCATCCCTGGGAGCCATGGTTTTCTGGGGCAGCCCTTGTTTGCTCCTACACACCGGCTGTCTTTACCTCCTGGGCATCACTCTGGGTGTGGCCCCTACTGTAAGCAGAGCCCCACAGGATTCAGCCACAGGAGCCTTTGCGGCCTTTGCCAGATGAGGAATTGTTCATGGCACTGGCCCCTGGCATGCGTGTACGTGTGTGCATTAATTTTACCTCCAATCAACAGCCAGCACCTAATCTGTGCATGTAACCACTCTTGAAGGTGGTGTGATCAAAACCAATGGGAATGTTTGAAAAATTAGACACGGCTATTACTCCCTCCAGTCCCCTTGCACTTGAACATCCTTGTTCTGTCATTCCCCATCCTTTCTGAAGCAGTTCTGAAGTGCTCTTTGTGAGAGTCTTTAATTGCACTATTGTAGCTGCCTTAGTGACATAAATTCAATTCAAAATGTTTGCATCTCACAGTCATCTTGATTTGCAGGAGGGCGGGAAGTCACATGGAGCCGTGGCAGATAAATACTGTGGATGAGGAGTCGCGGTGTTGTTTTTACCAGCCTGCCTGCCTGTTGGATGACCCTGGGCAGCAGCATTTGCCATGTTTCTCATTGCACCTGATAAAGGCACTTATGTTGGATTACACACATACGTAAGTATCCCTGGGTTTCGTTTATAGTAATATCTCCTATTGATTGATCTATGTATTCTGTCAAGTCTATACTGACAGAAAAATATCTGGTAGAGATAGTTCTTCCCTTGTCCTGTTCTATTTAACAGTGAGGTGTGGCTATGTATTCAGTTTGAAGATTTTCTCCTTAATAGAGAATAGATCAAAAGTGGAGTAAAGAAATCTTGTCTTTCTATTGTTTATTTCCTAATGTCACCATATATTCTCCCAGTACTTAGATTATTTCTTTTCCTTTGCTCTAAGTCTAACTCCACAGCGCATTTTGAATATTAGTAGTATTTTTTACACATCATTAAGAAAAGCATCATTCCTATTTTTACAACTGGAAGGTGGAATCCATCAAAGTAAGTATCAAAGGAATTTCAAGGTGGGGTGTGCAGTCTGTATTAGGAAAGTGCCCTCTGTGTACTGCTTCTGACCCAGCTCACCCCAGCTCTGCCACCTTTCTGTGCTCCTACATCAGCTGCCCCTCCACGCTCAGATGCTTGAGTACAAGAATTTCCAAGCACACTGTCCTTCCTCCGGCTCACAGATCTGACTTAATGGAACAGAGTAGAATTTTCCATTGCCATTCATTAGCCTTGAGTCCCTTACTTAGGATTCTATCCTTGCTGTGGGTGTGTGACCACACCTATAATTCCAGGTGGGTCAGTAGGATTATAAATTGGAGCCCAACCTGCGCAACTTGGCAAGACCTGTCTCAAAATTTAAAAATAAAATAAAGAAGGGGGTGGAGGATATGGTTCAGTGAAGGCCCTCGGTCTCATCCCCAAGTACTGCAGAAAGAAAGAGAGAAAGAAAGAGCAAAGCAATTTGAACCCTCCCATTTGGTCCTCATGTATTTTTATTTGACGATGATGAGTATTTGTTCTTACTATTCTTATTTATAGATCATAACACCTAATTTTATTCACTTTTTGTCTCATGGGATCATATAAATCAGTGTATACCACTTCATTTTTTTCAGTGTGATAGAGTTACAAATATACATATAAGTGTATAGGAACACATATATGTACATGAAAAGGCAGGTAATGCTATATCTGTGGTCTCTATTATACTCAGATTTCGAGTAGTTTTTAGTTATCCTCTTCTTTTTTCTCAAATGTTAATGTTATGAACTAATAGATTTGTAGACTTCATGCATACTTCAGATGACCTTTCACCCACTCCCATGATCTGCTGTAAATGAAGAAATTGAAGATAAACGTTTACATAATTTATTCATGTTCACAGAACCAGTTAAATCGAGTGGGCTAAAGTTTAATTTACAGCTTTTAGTGAAACAAATATTTCTTTTAATTTGCTGAGTTGCTCATCTAGCCGTCATCACCTGAGGAACAGGTGGTCATGAGAAGACACAAAGAATGACAATAAAGCCACATGTTACCATCCTGATATGTGAGCTAAACATATATGGGACTATCATCAGCTAAAAGAAATATTTTGACTAACTTTTAGAACTGCTGAGTAACTTTGCTATCTATACAACACCTGTCCTTTGTTAACTAAAAGACCAAATTGGAAAATGACTGAATGTTTTAGAGACAGAAAGCGGGCAGCAGGGTGAGGGGTGAGTGAGACCAGGACTCTCGAGCGCTGGGGGTGCGTGTGACCATGTTTACCGTATCCTCTGTTGCTCTTTGAATGGTGTCTCGTATTGGTGGATGAGCTGTCACCATAGACCTGCGGGGCTGAATGCTCAGGGAACGCCACTTGCTCTGTCATATCACAGGTGTATTTTAAAAGTTTCAGCAATACACTTTGGAAAATTCTCTGCAACCTAAGCCCAGCAGCAGTGATTGGTGGCAGGTGTGGCCAGCTGTTAAGGGTCGGTGGATTACATGCAAGTCGTTCAAAGGACAGAGAGATTTTCTTTTCCTAGTGGAGGGAATGAAGGCTCATTTCTGGGTAGAGGCACCATTTGCTTTGATATGAAAAGAAGAACATTCGGCGTTTACACCCAGGTTTGAGCTGGACCAGATGAGTGGCAATTCCAACATCAAAACCAGGCTGAAAAAATCCTAAGATGACCATGCCTTTCCCTTCCTTTTTCCAGGAGACCTGAGCCACTGATTGCCTGATTTCCCTGGTGATCTCACTAACATGTGTCTTGTTTGCTTTCAACTAAACAGTGAAAAAACTTGACAACACCCAAAGTTAAGAAGCTTCTTATGTATCCACTGGTTACTTTAAAAGTCTTTTCACATTTTTCTTTGTCATAGATTTTTAATACAATTTTGTTTCCCATCAAAGATGATAACTGGTTTTCCTAGTCAATATAAATTCATAGGTGTACACTTTAGATAGGTAAGAACTTTTCAAGGTAGAGATGGCTTGAAGTAGAGCAGGGTTTTTTTCCCCATTCAGAGATTGCTAGTAGAACACCTCCAAGGGGATCTGGACATAAACGGTGGGGAGCAAAGCCAACCCTGTTGTAAGAGAGATAAACATCTAATCGTTATGAACAGATTCCAGGTGATAGTGCAGAGGCTGTATGTGACCTCTTCCATGATATGAAGAAAGAGAATAATGTCCTTGTGATCCCACCTTATTGTGAGACAAACTTGAACATTAGCCTTCACCCTGGAGAGCCAACTTTTCTAGCAACCTAATTGAAGGAAATAGACTTAGCGATTTGAGCTTTTCCCAAACCAGAATCAACTGGGGTTCTTTTCCTACTTTCTGACATATCAGCAAATCATTTTTATGAGCCCTTATGAGATGCATTGAGCCATTAGGGGAGAGTCAGGGGGCAAGGGTGCCGTTTACCAGGGCAGGCTTAAGCAGGGAAGGAGAGGGCAGAGGGGAGGAGGGCCCTCATTAGGGCAGGCGGGGGATTCTGCGCCTGCCTGACTGCATTAAGCTCACACTGGTGTTGGTGAGCACAAAGCACAGGGCCACAGGTGCTCTCTGCTCCAGAGTCTTCAAAGATCAGCCTCAAACGTTTCTATTACTATAAAGAGGATTAAAAGGATTTAAAAGCATAGCAGGCCTGTCCAACCGCAGACATATTTGCCAACATTTGCCAATGGACAGAAAAAGGGTAGTTATATCAGCTACACGTCCCGGTACTGGGAGACATTTTCAGAGTTCTTTTTTCGCTTCCTTTCACTTTCTTCCTCCCTCCCTCCCTCCCCCCCCCCCTTTTTAATAGCCACAATGTAGAACTGCAGCACTTTCAACTGGAACTCATTAAGAATTCATGGGGCAGAAAATGTAAGGGGTTCTGGAAACTTAGACTTTGAAAGGCCAGAAGCGAGCTATAAATAAGCTGCTGCTGATACTCATTTTCCCCGTGGTTAAATCCACGTATTGAACCAGAATGCAAACGTGGAGAAAGCCAGGTGACTGCTGACCTGACCTGCAGGCTGAGTTTCCACAGAGGGGCCGCTGAGGTTTACGGATTCAGTGGCTACAGAGGTATCACAGCAGCCATCACACAATCTCAGAAATCACTTTGCCATCCTATGCAGCCACAGATATCGACAGAAATCACCCACAGGTGCTGGTGTTAAAGCCAGGCATCTGTAGTCATTGTTAAGGTGCCATTGTCACTGCTTAACATGAATGGATTTTAACATCAAATTCCAGTTTCTTTGCTTTCAACTGTGCCATGGTTCAATACTGTCACTGTAGTATTTCTAATTTCCTCACAGAGCACACTGATTTTCAATAAAGTGGGTAAAGGGGCAGAGAACGACATCACACTGTGTAAACTCAGGTAGCTCAAATATCCTTTCTGCATTTAGCCAGTCTGCTGATCAAAGAGAGGCAATGGTCACGCCTCAGAATCTACCAGAGTCAGAATTTCTGTAAGATGAACAAAGCTGGGACGAAAGAGGACTTGTGGGCATACACTCATAGATAAGATGTGCGAGCACACCCCGTCTACCTCCTCATTTGCACACTCAGGTCTCCCATTTACTGTTTCGTCTTCCACTTCTAGGGTGGTGAGGTTTACACATGCTTGTGCGATGGAAGTCAGTTTTGGAGGACACTGCCATAAGTTTTATGTGACTGTCTTATCACATGTCGGCTATGAGAATTCCCACTATGGGTCCACGGATGCTGTGGGTTTCTAGATCAAGCTCAAAACTCCATGCCATGAATTGTGAGCAGATAGTATATGAGACATGATTTTCCAAAAAAGAAGTCCTGTAGTTTTTATCTTAAAGGAGTTTGTTACTTTGAAAATATAACAAAACATTATTCTGTAAGTATTATTATTTGTAAGAAATACAATTCTATAAGCTCTAAGACCATGACGCAGAGGGTAAGCTTCAGGCTGTTTTTCTAAAATGCCTTTTCTCCTGGCTCTTCTTCTGAATTTCCCTTTCCTCTGATTCATCATCTACAAAATAATACATATTTGGAAATTAAAGAATATGTTTTTAACAGGTTTTGGTGATGCCCAGTGTTAGCTGTTGTCTTATTACAGAAATGTTAGCTGGCACCATGATTTACAAGAAAAAGGTGATAGCACAAGATTTCATTTTTGATTAGCTTGTGATTTGGAAACTAGAGGTCAGACAAAATGCTACAAAAAGGCAAAAGAAAAACACTACCAATGAGATTATAAGGGGATGTTTTTAAACGCCACAGATATAAAAGTACAATGTGCTGCAGTGGAAGAGAAATCTAAGAGATGAGAGGAAAAGAGAGGTCAGGAGTTTTGGGTAGAATATCTGGAGGCTGGGGTGAGGGAGTGGGCTTCAGGTCCAGAAGGCTCCAGAGATAAACTGGGCAGGTGGAAGGGAGGATGGCAGGGAGTCCAGACTGCTGCTAGAGTTTAGAGTCGGCCTGCAGCTGATGGGGGCCCAAGCGATTCTGAGCAGGAAAATTACATGATGACCACAATCAATTCAAAGCAGCAATTTGGCTGAGGTGAGCAGGAAGGAGCCCTGTGAAGAGGGAGCGGGAGCTGTGGTAATAATCAAGGTGTGAGGTGATGAGGACCTGCCCTGGTGTGGCGGTGTTTGTGGAAGGTGTGCAGGGATATTGGACCCACCTTAATTGCTTATTTGCTACAGTTTCACCTCCCAAGCACAGTTTGCCTTGGCCACTAACCCTTCCTGACTCTGAACTGTTCATTCCAGTCTTCCTGCAGAGAAAGGAAACAAGAAGGAAGGGGAAAGGAAGGAGCAGGGTGGGAGTCATTGGGGCAGGTACACCCTGGCGGGAGCACCAGACTGCATTATCCCAGGGGCCGGAGGAGCTGGGAACGGGCGATTGTTGGAACTTACTCAGTTTAGGAGTAAATTCCTTAGAACTACTACGACTGAACAATGAGAGAGAGACTCTCTTCTCCTCTTTATTCTGGGAAGAGGTGCAAGATAGATAGGATAGAGACAGAGACAGAGAAACAGAGACAGTGACAGAGAGAAAGACAGACAGACAGAGAGAGATAGAGAAACGAGAGAGAGAGAGAGAGAGAGAGAGAGAGAGAGAGAGAGAGAAACACACACAGAGAGAAACAGAGAAAGAGAAACACACACACACACACACACACACACACACACACACACACACACACACAAAGTGCTCTTCTAAGACCCGTTCAGGATCACTTAAACCACAGCTGCAGCTGTCATGTTCTTTGATGAACAGGTCACCCTAAAATAAAGTTTTACATTACAAACACACAGAAATATAAACATAAAGAAAATTGAAGTAGAAGTTTTGTTGAATATTCCATTTCTACTCTTAGTACTTGTATTCTGGGTTGTTTTGCTTTTCCTAATCTATTAAATGTGAGATTAGGTTTTTCTAATACAGTGTGGTTGGGACTCACTAAATTGATTTCTTCATCCAAAACTGGATCGCAAACTGATCTCGATCAACTGTGGACTTCTACAAACCAGGCATGTAGAACCGTAACCTTGAGATTCATGAATTCACAGGTGACTGGGGAATGCTGTTGTCCTCTTCTGTTGTTAGCCACCTGGCTCCCCCAAGATTTTCTCCTCCTGGGAGTTTCATGGACAAAGAATGAGTAGCACTAGTTGTCCCAGGACGTTCACAGAGCTCGGTTTCTACCCCATCTCAGATTCAGAGCCAGCCCGGGGACAGTGCTGCCCATAGGCTGCTGACGCCTTCCCTTGGGACACCACCCCAAGGCCTCCTGGAGGCTGAGGCTGCTCCCTTGGGAGGCCTAGCACAGACACAATGGCCAGAATTGGTTCAGACACTTTCATGTCTAGGCAGATTCCTAATATTATCCTTGGCTCCAGTGCACCAAGGCACACACAGTAATAACATTCTTTACCTATAGGTAGCTGTAATTTCAAACTGGGTGGAATTCTTTCCTACCTTTGAAACCACAAAATAAAATCAAAGAAATAGGATCTTTTGCAAGCTGGGCCTCAGCACTGATGAGGGGAGGTGAAAGGCAGGCACGTGGCCTCAGCTGGAAAATGACTTTGAAAACGTCTGATTTTAATCAGAGTCACCCGCTTGTCCTGTCTACGAGCCCCTCTGACACGCTGACACTTCCCCGAGACTCAGCATTCTGGAACCGCCCAAGCAGAGAGTGAAAAGTGAACTCAGGCTCTGAAAATCATGCTGGTCTAAGGGGACCAGTCTTTCCACAAGATTAGCTACTTCTCAATATTCTGGAAAGAAAACGTGTAGAGTCTCACTTCCTAGAGTAATGCACCCCACCAGAGGACACAATTACCCCTGAAGCTGATAAGAGGTCATTCGTCTTCGTCCAGAAACAGTGGTCCACTGAGGACCCAATTTCCAGTGGGTCCCGGATGCTTGACTCTGTGTGGTAGAGTGTCTGGAGCATGGCTGTGGATCCCTGGTTCCTTTGCAGCCTGCAGTGTGGTAGACACAGCGCTCAACTCCCAAGTAGCACCCTCAGTCAGATAGTTCTAGATACAGCAGCACACTACAGTGCTACAGACTGAAGTTCCCCAGGAGGAAGTCAATGAAAGCAATATGAAATTTTATAGGAAATTTTGTGCACGTGTATAAAGGTGAATCCTAGAAAAAGTGTTCATTGCAATCACAAAAATTCTAGAAAATCTCTAAAAATCTGTACTGACGTATCACCAGCACCTTGAGGTGAGAAAGTAATACAATCCTCAGGGTGGTCTTCAAGGACCACTCAGAACCTGGATTGGAAAGTGAAAAGGGGGCCAGGGAAAACCTGAGGAAGCTCTCTACCTTCGCTTGCTTTCGGTTATTTACTTTTGTTACAAGTTTATAGGTCACGTAGCTAAGCAGTACACTCCTCTGAGCTTGGTGATAAATAACACTTCTAAAGAATGGGTGAAGGAGTCAGTAATAGACGATTGTTGTTTTTTTAGGGAGTTGGAAATAGCTCAAATCAGTGAACCACCAACTCCTCACCTGGGGCTGCATGGGTGACATTTTCATGTCGGAAGCCCAAAGATCACACTGTTTCCTGAACTCGTGTTGCACTGTGTGCCTAGAAGTCTGATCAAGTGCACGCAGACTACAGGTGGCCTCCCAACTCTTCACCTGCACGCAGCTCTCCCCACCTCTGCTTGCCTGCTTCTAAATCCCATAACACCCTCGACCTTGTTCCCTTGTGGAGCTAAGTTTGAGACTTGCTCTTCCATCTCTACACTTGATTGGCTGCTTGAAAACAATCTGTCTTTTTCAAAAGTCCTGCTTCAGTGGTTGGTAGAGGACAGGGAGTTTGTAACAGTGGTTGTATGGAGCTATGTGAATGTTGGGCCCCATCAGGTCGGGGTGCCACAATGGCCTGGGGTATGGTTTGGGTTTCTGTGCAGCCCTGCTCAGCTTTGCTCTGCGTGATGATGAAGTCATGATGTAGAGCAGGTCACTGGGAAGAAGTCCGTGTCCATCCATCTCTACTGCTAGGAGATCACTCAGCTCCGACCTGGTACCCAGGAGGTGATGACCATCTTAGTGTTGGGATAGACTTGTGGACACCCAGGCTGGCCTCTATCCAATACAGTGACCTATCAAATCTACTTCAGCTGGCCCACACTCTTCCCTACTTGGCCGTCATGTCCTCTCCTGGGCTGCTCTGTCTCCTGCTGTCTCTTGGGCTTTTGTAACAAAAACACTTCTCCTGTGGGGTTCACTGATGGGTCTTAATTCTGCCTTTTAGTTTCATAAAATAAGTCTTTGTCTGCCATATGAAAACTAAGCAAAATATATAAAAAGTAGTGCAGAATTTTCAGAAAATACTCATTGAGCAGTCTTTTGAGCTTCACATTTAAACCAAGATTTGCACTTTATAAAATAATCCAGGTATCCTTAATATTTAAAACTCTGAAGGAAATACCTTGCTCATTTATTTCAGTTAAAAAAATGATGAAGATGTGATATGTAAATGAACAAGTTTCTCAAGATGAATGCAAATAATAGGTATTGTAAATATAAGAGATATTTAGGATTTATACACAATTCCACCACAAATAAGTGAAACAGTCAAGACCAGAACTTGCATCTTCTACATAGATGGCCAAATGGGCTTTCCTCCTTACACTGCCATGATTATTTACTCCATCATCCCAGCACTTATGAAGTGATTGCTGGGCTCTCATAAGGCTCTTTTCTCCAAGTTCACCACCCCTTGTTCCTTCAGTCAATTCACAAAATTCGCTGAATCAACCCCTTCAACATCCTGGCCTCCTCCCAGGATTTACCCCCTGCTCCTCCCAGGCCTGCTTAAAGGCTGTCTGAGGCTGGACAGCTTTGTGAGGGATGATGACGGTTAGCTATGCACCCTCCCCCACCTTGCAAGGAGAAGGCTTGTCGTGTACTGAGTCTGGTGATATGTGTGTGAGGATATAAATGGGGGAAACCAATGGAAACAAGTTGGACCACAGAAGTGCAGGCATACTGCGAGGCTGAGAGGCTCCAGGCCTGGAGGCTACATGGAGGGGAAGCTCAGGATGAGGAGTAGGAGCTGAGGCTCGGGAGGGACCCTAGTGGGGAGTGGAGGAGGCAGAAGACGGCTGTGGGTACGGGGTAGATTATTCTTGGTGATTTTCAGTGCACATCTCTTCCCCCTGGAATCTGATTAAGCATTTCACTCATCTTAGATTTATTTTGATTACTTACTGACGTGCTCAGTCTTACCTGTACACAGTAAGATCGGGTGCACAGTCTCAGATCTAGCAGGACCTCTGGGTTACACCAGGAAGACATCGCGCACATTCACCCGAGGGGCTGTGGATCCTCCGCGGGAGAATGACCTGGAGAGATGTGGCCCCTCAGAGAGCCGAGGGCCAGGTCTTGTCCTTCTGATGCCACCCTCCCTTCTGCTGTGTTGCTCTGCTGTGAAGCTCCCTGGTATCTCAGCAGGGAAGAAACTCACATCTCCATTCCTTGGTGAACCCCTGTCATGCTGCTTGCTTGTTTTGAGAAATAAGAAGTCACTGTCCAGCAAGGTTAGTGAGAAGCCTGCAGGGAACTTCTCTGGGCTATGCGTGGCCTTTGTAGCAACTTTAGATACTTACATAGCCCAGATACTCAGTGGATTGGGAAGGGGTGCAGAGGATGCTACCCTAAAATATGTACCTTTGCTATACAGACTATGTCAAGCTGAAGGAAATTCAGCAAATCTGGGGAGCAGAAGTGTTTGTTCAACCTTCTCTCTTGAGAAGACTCTTCTACCAGATGCCTACTCTGTATCCAAAGGGAAGGGGTGCTGCTTAGATGGGCCAAGGAGAGTCTAGACAAACAGACGTGGCTGGGCTCCCTCCAGGGGTCGCCCACCGACTGCTTCTTGTTTTTGCCCAGTTGTGTTTCCGTGCACTTGCTCTTCATCAAACCTAAGGTCAATACAGTTTTCTCTGCATCTGTGGGTTTTCATTTCTCAGGGCTCCCTTGTCATGTAAAGTTTATGTTAAATTTACTTGTTAATATTTTCTTTTGTTCTTTTGTATTTTTCTCATAGGACTTTCAGCGTTGAACCTAATGGTAGCCAAGGGGTGGACATTACTGTCTCCATGAAGTGGATGGTGGCTGATAGTCACCTTCGTTCCTGCCTAATTGCCACCAGTTAACTAGGATGTGCGTAACCCAGGAGATGTACTACTGTCCAGACTTTAGCCAACTGAGCTGACATGGGGGTGCAAATCCTGGCTCCCTAATTCGAAGTGGGGCATGTTCTGTGGTGCAGCTTGGGCCTTAAAGCTGATCCTGAATCCACAGACTTTCTCAGCTTTCTGCCCTTCCCTATCCTTGCTTCCCTAACCCTCCCCTCCTGGGACCACTGTCACCATAAATCTCTTGAATGAAGTACCTGCCTGGGCTTCATCTCCAAGGAACTATACCCAGTTCGGGGTCTGGATCCATTCCTGAAATGTGGGCTGAATTCAGATGAACTATGAAAACTGATGTTCTCATTCTCATGTAATGAACCATCCTTATCCACCCAAGTCATGTGGAAAATATGAATCATTCTAGATCTCCACAGCTCACATCCATTTACCAAACTCTGTTCATTTCACCTCAAAAACACACTCCAAGTTTATGCACATGTCTCTCTCCCTATGTCCATGCTCTTGGTTCTGGATCTCAGAATCTCTCTGAGATGGGCTTTATATCTCCAGGCTCTTTCTTGGCATTGAGGTTGGAGCAGCAAATCTTACCACAATGCCTACTTCCTGAAATACTCCCTGCCTCCCTCTGCCCACGATAGTGGGTCTCCCTAGAGTTTTCTTGAGGCCACATGCTGTCCAAATGGAGTCCAGCTGTCTTCTTCTGGTCAAATATTCTTGAGCTTTTTTAACAGTGTAAAATAATGAGAGTCATCATTGATCATTTTATTTCTTTGGAATCATTTTATTATTTTGGAAAAATAGAGTTGGTTTTCATCAAACTATTTTATCTATGTTCACATACAATGGATGTATTTTTTTAAGAAATTAATAAATAAATTCTATTGAATGTCTATTTCTCAGGTTTAAATTCTTATGTAGTAGAATAAATCAACAGTGGGACTCATGAACAAAATCTCCGAAGATCAGTTAGGCCTTCAGGTAGCTTTACCCTAGCCCTCTTGTGACTGAACCCTTTTGCTAAGCCACTCCTGAAATCCAAAGTGTTAGATATCATATTACAGGGCCATGCAGTCCATTGTGTAAACAATTTAAAATCATCTAAGTCCCACATCTTAGACTTAGATTCCCTCAGAAATATTGGTCATTTAATATACTCTTCATATTTTGTGAAATGCTATAAAACAAACACTTTTATAACTTTATATGGTAATTCTACTGTGGATGCAAAGTTAGCCTGATTTAAGGTGAAGATTCAGACAGATGAAGCAAAATGATAGGAAGTGAAGAATTCAGAACTCACCTAGGTCTCCCAGACCAGAAGTCCAGTGTCCATCCTGTCAAGGAGTGGTCTCAGTGGACAGAACAACCAAGCAGAGGACAATTGGTGCTTGTAGAGTTCCTTTCCATCTCGCTGCTATGGTCAGGATTTTATGCTCTGATTAAAGGTATGGATTGTAGCATAATATGTTTTCTTTTATTTTTTACTTAATTTTCCCAGAATTATTTGTTTAACTATAATATCAAGTGAAACCCCACAATTAGGGCCATTATAAGGAAATAGTCACTTTGAAAACTGTGCTTTTAATCTGGGCCTTTAGGAAGAAGTATAGTGAAGCTGTGCCTCTTCACTACACCTCTGGCCACAGACTCACATGGTAGGTAGTGTGCCACGCCAGGCACAGGCCTCTGTCACGCTCATGCCTGCATCTTTCACATTGATTTTTCACAACTTCATATGTATACAGTATCTGTCAAGCATGTATACACATTGGGAAAAGAAAAAGTTGCATAAATATTTTAATATAAAGTTTATTGAGACTTTATGAGATTAATATAAGTTATCTTTGGCCTCTACAATTACCAAGTGGTGACCATTAGCTTCCAGATATTTATTAGTACAGCAAACTGCTGAACTGTGTATATATATTTTTGGGCAGACATTTTTGGCTACATATATACATATATACATATACACATGCATGTATATGTATGGCCTGTAGACTATATGCACACACAGAGACACACACATATATATGAAGCTGATACAACATAATTGAGCACATTTCTTCATGGTAATTATTCAAATTTTTTATCACAGTTCTAATGAATAGTGTCTAAAATCTGAACCCGTTACATTAGAGAAAAATCCATAAAAGTTAGAACAATGAGTTGCTACTCTATTTTTTTAATCCCATGGATGGTTTTTCATTTTATACTTCATGCTGAATGAGCTTATTTGTTTTTTACATCTATTAGTTGGCTGTTCTAAGCAGCATTATCATTTTGGCTAAGCATTTAATGAAGTTAAACTGTAGTCCACATAAAATTATACTTGTCAGCTACATGAACATGTGATAATTGCTCAACTATGGATATGAGACTCAATGTCTTCTATTAGATTACAGGGGAGGGGTTAGCAGATGTTAGATTATATGCTTAAATTTTTTAGTCACTTTCATTGTTCTTCCGGTCTTTTTCACTGTGGTCTGTTGTATGTCAAGTCATATTTGGAGTAAAAGGATTTTGCTCTTGAGAAAGAAAAAACCAGATTTGCTTAGTGAATGGTTGCGTTTCTAGTCAGTCAGTGTGCGTGATGATGATAACATGGTCTCTGCTTGCTTCGAGGAATGTCAGCTCACACAACTGCGCCCTGCAGGAGCACAGCCCACTGAGAGGATCCCTTTCACTGAGAAATAAGTAAACAGGAAATTTCAACAGAAGCACCAGTGTTGTGTGCTTCCACCGATTTAATGGAAGACAATAAACCAGTTCTGTGCTAACAGTTTCATGATTTCTGGCCTTTCAGGAAAAAAGAAATGACAGATAGCTTTTCCACGTACTTAGAAGGTCTGGAGGGGTCATTTTTCTCAATTTAGGTCACTGAGCCTTCTTCAGTTCTGAGAAGGAAAACTTGAAGCCGAACTGCATGTTGAAACTCTAGCTCTCCCACTCAGCAGTGGTGCTCTCAAGTGAGTTGCTGGACTTTCTCTGTGCCTTGTCCTGCTCAGTAGAATGGCACTGTCGAGAATATCTATTTAAATAAGGCCACAACAATGATAAAGGTGGCAATGCATGAAAAGTGTTTAGAATAGTCTGGCATGAAATATGCTCAGAAAAATTTAGCTAATATTTGTTCAACAACAATATGTTATCACTGTTGTTTAAGATTTCTAGTACAGTGTCTGAAGCTCAGGGAACAACAGCAGGACCCCATCTCTGGCACTAAATCTGGTCATACTAAGCCTTCAAATTATCATATGGACTACCACAGGATTAATGGATTCTCAGAATTTCATAAGAGGTCAGGAAAAAAATTGTTCTTAGGTTCATGTGGTTGATAAGAGTTAATTTCTCCATTGCTCTGAAGGATCTGGTACTTATGGCTAAATGGTACTCACATGAGTTGAAAGAGAAAATCTATCCACCTTATATTCTTTTTAAAATATGAGCTAATAACACCAAGCATGGTGGCACATGACTATACTCTCAGCTACTTAGGCTGAGACAGGAGGTTCATTTGGGCCCAGGAGTTGGAAATAAACACACAGTGTCTCAAAAACTTAAACGACTGAAAAAAAAAACATGAGTTAATATGAGAAATTTTATCCCAATGTGCCAAAATGTTTCACAAGTTTCTAAATCATTTCAGGGCTAAAATAATGGGACTAATTAAATTAGGAAATGCTTAGGTGTTGTTTAGCGAGAAAATATTTTGGATGTTTATAGTCAACCATTGTTAATGATAAGAACAAATTTCTAGATACGTTTTTCCAATAAGAATAGAAATCATAGTGTGTTTAGTATACTGAGATGAAGATGATTTAAACTTTTTCTTTTATTTTAATCACAAAATATAAATAATGGATTCACTTCTGTCTCACATAGACAGGATAGTGTCTCTAGAAGCCTTGGAAAAACAATGAAGAGTCTTAGCAGCTTATTCTGCAGAGAGCAATTTGCATGCGTATTGAACAACTGAACCATCTGGACTGGAGCAGTTCGCTTGTGCCAAATGCACCATGCCCACACACACTGCCCTTACCTCTTTGCTGGAGGGAGAGGCTCAAACATAGCCAATTATACATGACTTATTCCCTCCACGGCCTTGGTGTGCTGACGGATACCTCTAATTGATGCACAGCCATATGTCTTTATTAACTTTGTAAGGCAGTTCCTGGCATGTAAAAAGTCACCCAAGTGAGATGCAAATCTGACTGCAGCTTCAAACATGCCAGAGCTTTCTTTGTTAACAATGCACTGTAAGAATCAGAAATGATGCTTTTGCCATGTGTTTAGCCACAGAAGGTATAATCAACTTTATCATCATCATCATCATCATCATCATCATCATCATCATCACTTCTATCTTTATCATTATGTTATATTTGCTTTGAGGGAAGGTCAGTTTTTTTAATCTGCTTTTTTTTTGCATTTCATTTTCTTTGTTTTGTAAATATCACCTCAGAATCAGTTTAATCTTTGGGATAAAGTAAATTCCACAGAAATATCTGGATTTGTTTCAGGTTATAGAATCAAGATCCTTGTCAGTCTTCAGACTTATGCATTCATTGAAAATCATCACCACTTTAAAATAGTATGGTTAGTTTGCTTTTAATTTTTCTTTATTTTCTAAAAGGTCTATGAAGACTAAAATGTCATCATGTATACAATCCAGAAACTTGGAAAAGAGTTTTCTCCCATCTTGGGCACCACTGACTTCGAAGCTTTGCTCACTAGCTGGAAGCCAGCGCTCTCTTCAGCCCCGCTGTGCTGAGCACAGGCTCACTCACTCAGGTGGCACTGAAAGGCTGACACCTGGGCTGCCGCTGTGCTCCTTCCACGGGTTTTTTATGCGATGGAGATGGAAGTCCCGTGGGAGCATTCTTTGCTCAGCCTCTGCTCAGAAAATTGCAGTTCTCAGCGGATGCTGAGAGCAGCAGGGTGAGTGGGGTCCATTCCCACTCACCCAGCTTCCACCCCCACTCCTCTGACCACCGCAGCATTCTGTGAGCGGTATAATCAATGTATTCTCTATGAAAATAGCTTGAATATGATCTGTAGTTTGCAATCAAGTGTGCAAATATGTAAAAACATTTGCCTGTATGGGGACAAAAACATACAATAAATAAACAAACAAACTACCATTGCCACCTCACTTGTCTGTGAAAATAATTTCTTATTCACTGAGTGATGAAGATAAATGTATTCAATGGCCACCAGACTAGTTGCCATGTGAGGCATTGATGTGGCCATACAGACATGATCTCAGCTCCTCGGGTTTATTAGCCGAACTTTCGTACTCATGACCAGCTTTCAAACGCTGCACCACTGTAAGTACGTGTCGCATAAACGATGCTTGTGCCTTGCATGGCTTTGTCTCTTGTTCTTCCACAGCTGTAAAAACCATGGAGGATGAACATTCTTGCAAGGGAAATGAAAATTTATGATAGTTTCAAAAAATGCCAAAGTTGAGACTTTATGATTATACATAAAGGAATTTTCAGTAACCAAAGAGAATTAATTTCTATGTATTGAGCAGCTGTTTTATACTCAAAAGTATGTTGGTTTCTGGGAGAGGGAGGAAAACTCATAATTCAAATTCCACATTATGCACAAGCGTTGAATAGATAGAATGAGCAAGTGTTAAATTACTGGAAGAGAAAATTAGATGTGACAAAGCAGAACGTTGCAGGTGAAGGCTGAGATAGCATAAAATGTCAACTGTGTTTGCAGTGGCCAGTGTAATAGGAGATCTAGAAAGAAGCAGTGATTGTGGGCCTGAAAGCTCAGAGGTGCCTTCGCCAGGCCTTCGGATTTGAACTGTTTCTTTGCAGCAGGGGTGGAGGTCATGTAGTTGACCTGGAGCTGGCCACACCCCCTGGACAAGTTGCTTAAACATTTGGACATCCATTTTCTCCATGACAAGAGAGAGGTAATAAAAGTGCCTACTACCGACCCTGACCTCATGGAGATAGAGGATTTAGTATGTGGGAATGTGTTTAAACAGTGCATACTAATATATTTTAGCTATTAATAATATTATTTATATACAGTGCACTTAATGATTAACATTGCCTTAAATGATAGAGAGCATGCATTTTACAGAAGGGGAGAACAAACAGTAGAATATGTTCTAGTGGCCAGCATTATATCAGTCTGCTAAACTGGACCATCAGAAAATGCATAGTCTTCAAAGTTGTCTCCAAGCAATAGCTGACTATTTCCATCTTGTATTGCCAACTGCACACCTGTTTTAACAATCTCATCTTTCTTTACTAAATCCATTTTAAAAATTTTACATATAATTATTTTTATCATGTAAATAATATTGTGTATTACGGCTTGCATAGAATTTTATACTCAGTATCCTAAAGAATGTAATGGTTTTATTTTTCTTTTTTATTACTGCCTTGGTTACTTTTTTCTCATTGCTGAGTCAAAATACTCCACACCCAAAATGAAGGAAGGGAAAGTTTTTTAGCTCACTGTTTGTGTAGGTTTCAGTCCATAATCAACTTGTTCTAAGGCAGGATGGTATGGTGCTGGGGCAATACTTCAAGGCATCCAGAGCAAAAAGAAAAAAAGCCTCTTCTCTCTTATATTGTACACAGCCCTTTTCAGGGTGGGTGTAGCACTCATAAAGTCTCCTTGCCCTCCTCTTGCACAGGATGAGGATATTTGCAAAGTAAGAAACCAGCTCTCTGCTGAATCTCTCAGTTAAGCTTCTAAACTTCTCAGGTTGACACAATATATCAACTATAACAATCCACCCCTTGTCAACTTGGCAACCAGACACATTTCTTTAAATCAGCCTCCAGATACAAAGCCATGCTTATTCTTAACATTTTGCAACTTGAACATTATAACACAGCTTAACAATCCTTAGGAACCAGCATTAAATCTATCAACATTATCTTACATTGGAAACATAACATTTTGTTCTTGGCCCCCCAAAGACTCATGTACATCCCTTCATGTAAAAGACATTTAGTTCATCTGCAAGAGTTGCCAAAGTCCTAACAGTTTCAGCACTGCTGAAAATTTCAAATCCTAAGTCTTCTCCAAGATAGAAAGCTAACCCTTAGTTGCAAGCCCCTGTGCAAATGAAAACAAAGTTAAACACTTCCAACAAGCAAAGGCACAAGATAAACATTCCCATTCCAAAAGTTACAAACAGGAGGGTACAAAGGATTGGAGCCAAATCAAGTCTAAAATCCAGCAGGGCAAATGTTAAATCCTGTAGTTGCACTCCAGCATCTGAAGCAATCTGTTCTAAATTGCAAGCTCCAAAGGGCTTGTGTGATTCCACCCCTGTGGCATTTCTAGTGGTTATCAATCCCACAGCTTCTCTCTTGGGCTGGCTTTGCTCCCTCATTGCAGGTTTCCATAGATGATCCACATGCTTGGCTTTTCCAAACTTCTGGGGTCTCCACTGCACCTTTGGCTTGACATTCACAGTTTCACATACTGCCTTTCAGGGGCACACTGCTTGGCCTCCCAGACCTTCTGAAATCAAGGTGAAAGGCGTTTTAACCTAAGAACTGTTGCATTCTGTGTGCATCTAAAACCAGCACCACATGGATGATGCTGGGGTCTGCTGCCAGGTGGAGAAGTAATCAGTCTTCCCTCTCTCTTGGATGGAGGGGTCAAGTACCTGGATTGTTGAGCTCTCTGAACCTGATTGTGAGGAACAGCTTTTCTATGTCACCACTATTCTGGAATCTGGTGCAGTTGCTGTCATTTTGGAACCTCCTGTGGCCTCTTTCGCCACTCTGGAACCTGGCACTCTGCAGTTTTCTCCCCCGAGCAAAGTCTTTCACTTTTGCAATTTTGAGGCTGCAAGGAGTGGAGACCTGATGCTTCTTGGGATGCCCCAGGCATTTTTTTCTATTCTGTTCCTTCTCCGTAATAAAGATCTCAGCTCTATCTTTACAACCCATAGCTTTCTGGCTAATCTCACAATATTTTAAATCAACCTTCTGTGCTCTTTTCTCTTGATTCACAACATAAATCTGGCTAAAAGCCCCCAACAATAGCCATGCCACTGCCAACATTCATCTGCCTTGAAATTTCTTCTGCCAGATTAATCAGTCTGCAGCCTTTACTCTCCATCTCAGACAGATTCTCTGGACATGAGCAAAATACAGACAAACTTTCTGCCAGGCATTAACATACATCTTGTGGAGTCCAACAACCAATGCAGTCCTTCTTAACAGTAGAAAGCTCCCAAATCTGGTCTTTACAAGCAGGTTTTCTATCAACCTTTTGGTCTCCTGAGCTCTGACCAGAATCTCCCTTGCAGAACAGCCTAGGGTTTTCCAGCTCCATTCATTCAGGTGACATCTCTGAACCTTTCCAAACTCTTCCCACAAGCCACTCCCAAAGGTTCTTAAACCAAATGGTCAAGTACAGTCACAGCAATGGCCCCATTCCTAGCACAGATTCTGTCTTGGTTACTTTTTTCATGTTGCTGAGACAAAACACCCAACACCCCAAATGAAAGAAGGAAAAGTTTATTTTGTGGAGGTTTCAGTCCATAATCAGCTGACTCTAAGGCTGGGTGGCATGGCACAGGGGCAACATTTCAAGGCAGTAGTCAGAGCAAAAAGAAACAAAAAACCTCTTTTCCCTTATATGGTACACAGGCCACCTACCCTCTCCCTTCAGGGCCTGTGTAGCACTCACAAAATCTCCCTGCCTTCCAGTCTCTCAGTTAAACTTCTCAATTTGATACAGTGTATCAACCATAATAATTTCCTCGGTGACACTGCCCTTTCCTTAGCTTCTGGGAAAAGCTAGCAACAAATAGGAGACAATGTAAACTCTGAATGTGTAGAAAATGTGGTACCAACACAGAGTAATGGAGATCTGTACATTTTGTCAGTTGGGGCAGGGACAGGTAACAACACACTGGCTTCCTGTAGAGTTTGTGCTTACAGCTCACAAACTCACCCTTTCACATCCAGAGGGAGGTGTATAACCGCAGCTGAGCAGGAAGCCAGGACGAGGGGCTCTGAGGAGGCACAGCCGTGCTTGGCCAACGAGAATCCTGTAAGAACCATCAGACCTCCGGGGAAGAGCTGTCTGCGGACAGAAAGTAACCGTGCAGCTCAGGTGTCGTCTCATCTCATGGTAGTCTTGGCAGGGATCTGTGAGTGAAAGCACAGGGGAGAGCAGAGACAGACAGTGGAGGAAGGGAGTGGTCTGTCCTGTCATCAATGAACCTTCCTACCCACTTTGAAGATGGTGTCTTACATTTTTACATGTGATCAAATAAACTCCTGTTTGCTGAAGCAGTTTCGAGTTGTCTCTGCCTTTCAAGCAGGGGTTCTAACTTATCTCTATATACTGAAAAATACTATTTATGACTCTCTCTTCGGTGTCATTTTGGGGTCAAATTATTATATTCAGGTCTAGATTAGGATTCATAAACGGCAAAATCTATCTTACCATTTTTATTGTTATGTCCTAACACAGCACGGATGTATTTGCTAATTCCACTTGTGTCTGAATTAACTAAACAGCAAAGTGAAAGGAAATTGAATAAAACACAGGCGTGGACCATATATTGTTGAGCACATGCTTTGCATCAGTCACTGCCCTGTCACAGCTGTGCACAATGTCCTGACCAATGTGTCAGGTCTAACAGGGAGACACACAGCACACAAGGAAATACGTGTTGTAGAGCTTCCGGGACTGTTCAGCTTCATGGGGAAGAAAGAAGCCACAGCGGGAGGCAGAGTGGCAGTAATGGGAACGAATGGGGTCACCGGAAAGGTCTTTCTGAAGAGATGGCAACTTAGCAGATTCCAGAGAAGTGGGAATGAGCAACGGAAGACTGGTGGATTGGGCCGCAGGACCAGCGGGTCATCCCTGCGTGGGAATGCAGTTGATCGTCTCTGGAAGTGAAAGATGTTGATCCAGGCTCCTTGTGTCTCCTGTGTGCAAAATAAAGCATGTGCAGCCTGGTGTGAATTGCACATGGGGGAGATGCAGGCAAAGGCTGGTGCTAAAAACAGTGATGAAGCACTGGGCAAACATAAGGGTTGCACATCTGATTATATATTTTCCACTCTCTTCTCTTAAACTGAAAAGAATGTGTCCTTAGAAGGAAAATTAATGGAGAGGATAACTAACCACATTATTGAGAACCGGGAAAATTCAATACTTGTCAAAATTATGCAGTTTGTTACCCTTAAGTTTTGGAGTCAAAGTAGAAACACTTCCCTGCTCCACCATTCACAGGACACTTGGTTCATCAGGGCAGTACATTTTACCCCTCCGGTTTTTTATAGGGTGTGTAGCTGGAATAGGAAGGATTGTATTATTGTGTATGTCAGCAAAAACAACACATGACAAGACACACTCCCGCGTTAGGCCCCCGGTGTGCTCCGCAGCTTATGTGGTAGCAGATAGGCTCAGTCGTTCCACTTCCCTCGGGTTTCCATTGTGTTCAGTTACAGCTCACAATCAGCATATCACTTTGCTAAGCTTTTAAAATTAAATTAATAATAAGCTCATGTTAGTATTAACAAGTGAATAAACCAACGCTGAGAGATGATAACACCTCTTAGAAGACAAAAACAATGTTGGATGAATGAGTATGTGGTAGTTATTACAATTTCTTTGGGGTTGTTTGAGATGGGGTCTCATTATGTATCCCAGGCTGGCTTCGAACTCATGGCAAATCTCCTGCCTCGGGCTGCAGAGTGCTGAGATTACAGGTATGAATCACCACACCCAGCCAGTTATTAAAATTTTAAGAACTGAATGCCTACTGTCTCTGCTAAGATTTTCCCACTGAAAGTGTTACCCTTGCTATGTGGAGATGCACAGCTCTTTTGAGGCTCTTTATTGTAGCTCAGCTTCAGCCCGCCTTTCCACGCTGGCTTTCTGGGGCTCCATGGACCCTGAGTCTGCTCTGTCGGCTGCTTTCTGAGAGACGCCTCTGGTAGGAGTAATGGATGAAGGCACCCAGGCTGCAGGAGTCAGAGAGATCTTCTATCCTATGTTCTTCCTGTTCCTGATTTCACTCTTGGTTCCTGGTCAGTGCTACCCCAGCAACATCTGCAACTGCAGAGAAGTAGCCGATCCAACCAGAACGGTGTTCAGCTGTCACCAAATCCATCTTGTAATGACTTTTTAGGGACACTGATATCAATGGGTAGGACTTTCTCCCTACTCAGGTCCACAGGGCTCCATTTCCAAGGCAGAGATTGAGGAAGTCGCTTCTGATGTTCAGCATCTCCATCATGTCAGTGTCTGGTCTCTGCATTTTCTGTTTTGAGCACCTGGTCATTCAGGAAAGGAATGTGTGGTGTTGGAAGTCTAGAAGTTCCAACAACCTTCCCTGTGTGAAAGGGAGAAGAGTGTCGAGAGGCCCAAAGAATTAGAAGGCCTCTGGGGCTGGGACTGCAAGAGGGGGGACTTTGGGTGGGGAAAACAGGGGACCAGGGTGCCCCTGAGGAGTGTGCTGGCCAATCACACAGGATCAGTGTCACAAGAGCCAACAATACTCTACGTAACCAGCCAGAACAGCCCCTCACTCAATAGGCACTAGAGCCTAAAAATAAGCTCTCTGTTCTTTCCCAGAACTCGGGGAGGCTTCCATGAAGCTCCCTGGTCTTGGGGGAAGATTGGAAGAAGGCATCTGGAACACTGAATTAAATTATTCCATAGAACATATTTGCAAGGTCGGACAACATATTTTTCTAAAGGACGATGAGATAGATGTTTTCAAGGAAGGGGACAGTCAGAGAAAATATAAGAACTGAATTCCCTTTGCACATCAAAAGTTCTTATCTCGCTATGATTGTATTCAAATGTCTCCCACAAAAGCCGGTGTCACTATAGTCAGTCACTGTCCCTCTAATATTTGTAAGGTCTCAGTGATAGAGAACTTCTCATGGAGGGTTTTGTCTATTGGCTAAATACCATCATCTTAAATAGCATTAGCAAGATTCTGATGTCTTGAAGAATAAAAATCAGGTAAGCAGCACTTATTAATACAGTGATGGCTCAACTAGGTTTACTCTGAATTGATAAGTTTTAGTGATATCTCTCTCTCTCTACTTTATCTTCCTTTCATAAGCTTCAAAAGTCTTGAAAGAGCTGTGTAGTTCTTGCATCATTGTAGCTCTCAGAGCTAAACTATCAGTATTAATGTGGCTTAACATTTCCATTCTTTAACAAGCCTTGAAAATACTACAATTCCTTTTAGACACTTAATATATTGCATGCTGATGTTTACAACATGCTGCAAGGCTCACCACAAACAAAAATCCTCTGTGTTCCTACCAAACATCAATCAGAGAAAGGGTAATTGGGTTAGGCTCCTCGTGACTTACACGGCATGTTCACATTAACGAATTTGCTAATGGTGTAGTCATGCGCTGTTCTCAGGACGGGGCGTACAGATTTCAGAAAGCGAAGCAGACGAAGTCAGATCAATGACTAACACATGAAGAGCTACTCCTGCCAGTCTTTTGGTGTTGAGAAAAAGAGCCTGGAACTTGGAGTGAGATGATCTGGAGTTGAGCCCTTGATCTCCAGTTTGAATTTGTGTGGCTCGAGCAAGTCACATAGTCTCTTCGAGGTTTTCTTGGCTCAGCTGGATGATGCAAATCTCCCCTGCCAGGACTAGTGGGATCATGCAAGCCTTGATGGGAGAGCAGAGGCCTCCTGCGGTGCTTTAAACCTTCCTCAAGTGTCCAGATGTTGTGCTGGACACACCCATCCACAGCGGGCAGAGGGTCTGCTGTTCAGATGAAGGGAGAATCTGTCTTCATGTCCAGGCAACACCGATGAGCCCTTCCCACAAGGGCTCCAGGGATGGCTGACACATCCTGCAGATGCCACATGGCCCATTTGGCTGCTTGTCCCCGTGTGCTCCTGGGAAGAATGGCCTCCCTGTAAAGCGTCATTGTCACATCTGTTACCCTTCTATTCAACGGTCACCAGGAAAGGTCTGAATATCAGATGATGGGGAAGAGAAAGGATTTGTTTTTAAGTGATGAAAAACTCCCCGGGGAAATGTTTATATCTCTGAATTGGAAAATATGAGAGCATCCAGATTTCACAAGACTGCTCTGCGGTTACCAGAAGCCGTTCTTTCCACATCTTCCAGGCAGAGCCCTCTGCCTTTGCCCCAGGCCACCGCACTGTGCCCCCACATTCCCAAGGCTGTCAGCCCCAAATCTGAATCATCTCCCTTAAACCCTCAGCAGGTTTCCAACTCCCTGTTAAATCAACTTAAAATCTGATTATTCATATCGAGCACTGCCCTCCTGTGTCCTCGGAGGCTCTGATTTCCTCTGGAGATTGATTTTTCTCCTGCTGAGAAAGTCACACAAATGTCCTCTCTACCTATGCAATCCCTTCCCACCTCTCAGACATTCTACCTGCTTTTCTCACTTCTGGGACGCCCTGTTTCTCATCCACCAAATAAATTCTGCTAGAAGTTCATTATCTTCAAACCTTTCCCCAGATTATCTGCATTATACTCTCCGCCGCTCTATTCCAGTGTACCGAGCACATTCCCTGATTTACTCCTATATCATTTGTACTATTAGGTGAATTTCCTCTTGCTTTTAATGTAGATTCCTTTATTAGTTGGTAAATGCTTTATCAACAAAGCCTAGACTGTATTCCATTTTATTATCTTCATTTTTCTCTTTTTTATTCCTAACAGTAAGATTTCATCTTACTCTGGAAAAAAATAGCTATCATCAAGAAATCAATAGTAACAAATGGTTATGAGGCCGTAGGGGAAAGGAAACTTCTACACTGTTAGTGGGAGTGTAAAGTAGGTAACCATTATGAAGATCAATAAGGCAATTCTCAAAAAAAAAAATAAATCAATAAAACCCTAAAGCCAGAAATTCTGTTTGACCCAGATATCCCTCTTCTAGGAATCTTTCTAAAAGAGTTGTAGACCTGATATCACAGTGATCTTTGCATACTCATGATTCTAGCAGCACAATTCAGACCACTTGAAAGAGGTCTCTTTGACCATCAGTAGATGAATGAACAAGGGAAATGTGGTATTTACATGCAGTGGAGTAGCACACTGCTCTAAAGATGGATAAGCTTTGTTTTTTGTAAGAACATAGATGCACCTTGAAACCATAATGTTAAGTAAGATAAATTACACACACAAGCTTAAATATTGCATGGTTTCTTTTATATGAGAAACCCAAAATATAGTTAAAGAACAAAATAAAAGACATGATAGGAAATAAATCTTCTGCAAAAGGTCCAGAGACCCAAAGGTGGAGGGATGCGGGCATGAAAACAGGATTAAGACGTGTACGAAGTGTGCCAACTCCCTGTGACGATTGTGGGCAGTATGTTCACAAACAAGAAGTAATAAAAATTAAAAGAAAAAGGTATCTATGAGACCAGGGAGGAAATAAATAAAAATAGATGCGAAGTTTCTGAAAATCACAGAAGTTTCTCTGAGAGAGCAAGTCGCTCCCAGGGGGCAGCTTGTGAGCTTGGTCCTGCCCTGGCGCAGGGTCCAGTCCTTGGCTGACGGGCGATTGCAGGGCATAGAGGAGCATGGGGAAGTGGAGGAGAGGACATCAGCCCCTCGAGGGTTACAGCATCTGTGTGGCTTTGGCTTTCGTAATGGATTCTCACTGGCCACCAGCGACCGCTGAGCTGAGTTTGCATTTTTTATCTTTTCCTCATTTCTTAAGATTGGACAGGAGATCATGATGCTGCCTACGGTTTATCCGATGGCAAAGGCAGCCAGCCATGTCTCACTGGCAGGGTTGGAAAGATGCAGAAAAACAGGCAAAGCAGCAGTTTCTGTGCCTGAGCCCTCTCGGGTGGTGCTTACATAAGATCTGATTCCCCGCCTCCAGCAGGATTTCTCTTCACAGCCTGGGTTATGGAAGTGCACTGACTCTTCCCTTGTCTCCTTCCTTGGTCCTTT